CCATTGCGAGTACTTCGGAGCATTCATCTGTTTCATGATCCCATTGTGCAATTAGTTTTGCAAAATTTTGGTTTGCGAATCTCATGGGAAGGATGATATGCTTTGCCAATTGCTTGTGAAGGAGCTGATGAGATTGTATGCTCTATTTCCTTATGTTCATCAAAGCGAAGGTACTACTATTTTGACATGCATCGAAGCCTTCCCATTGTCTTTTAGCTCTTCTGCGCAGCCTTGTTCTATCCGTTTCCCATTTTCAACTGTATCGTCGATTTGAATGAACTATAAGTCGTTGAATTTTTGTTACAAACGTCTCTCAAGAAAAGCGTCTCCATCAGTAACTCGTTTCATAGGGCATCCTCTTAGCCTTCTCGTTAGATATAGTTTCACAAGCAATGAATTCAGTAATGAAACATGCGAAATAACTCTTAAGAGATTCTCATTCATCCTGTCTAGTGTCATTTAACCTGGTGGCTAGTGCCTACCCTGGCCTACTTCTCGCGAAGTCTCCCAGGAACGTCTGCTTCAATTGTGGTCAGGTTCTGAATGAGCCTAGTGGCATCTTACTATGCCACCTTTTCTCCAATCCATCCTACATCAAATAGAATGTTAGACATTTAAGTGTGCCTTTTTAGCCTCTTCTATGTCATGTGAGTTACATAAATCGAATCATTCTCTTGAAGTTCATCATTTTCATCAAAAATGATTTGCTTGCCCTGAAATGACCTGGACCAATAGGGTATATTGGATCGCCCTTTCCACTGTATTTCTCTATTTCGGGATGGATGAAGTTATCTGGAATCGGAATCTCTTTGATTTCCTTTAGAACTGCAGGTTTTCATCGTCATTGTCTAACTCATATGACTATTCCTCATAGAGAGAAACAAACTATGGGGACTTGATTAGGCTTTCCGCCCTTATATGTTTACGACGATAACGTTGGTTATACCTTCTTCATGAAAGTTAACTTCTTCCGCTAACCTATCATATCCACTGGATTTATTGATTCAGAGATCCCGTCGTCGCTTACTAGGTAAACTATTGAAAGTATTTGATATTTGAATTATCGGCTCTATATTATTCTCATCAGATTTCAAGTAGAAATCTACCTTCGGATTGCCTACAATCGCATGTAACAGATCATTCTCTGCAGTTAAAGCTCTAAGACTTTCAACCATCCCTGAATGGTCTTCGCAATAGAGATTTTCTTCCGTTGTCAACGGCGATGGGTACGAGAGAGAACTATATCGATGTTTCCTCTCATCGTTGCTTTGTATTTACATCACTGTTGGTCGGACCATCACTATGAGTCTTGACTCCGATCTCCAATACGTTTATTTCCACTGATTCCACTTCCACTTGACTATGACTCTACACAAATTTCTATGATCTTATTAAAAAGAAAAATGCTATTCATCC